GGTAAGCGCGCGGGCCGCCCTGCGTATTCTGGGGGGGGCATCATTCCGCTCGTTGCTGGAGGACGCCGGGGCAAACAAAGGCACCATCACGCGGCATCCCCTATCACGTTTACCGTGGATTTCTGCAACATCAGGGGACTCCACTCGAACTTGGAGGCCGTCCATCACCATCTCGAGACGGCCAAGCCGGCCTTGCTTTTCCTCACGGAGACGCAGATATCCTCTCCGGCAGACACTTCGTACCTATCCTGTCCCGGATACAAATTGGAGCACTCCTTTTTGCCTCGGGCCGGGGTATGTGTGTACGTCAGAGAGGATATCTGTTCTCGTCGCCTCAGCCTTCTTGAAGGTAGGGACCTATCTATTTTGTGGCTGCGCGTAGATAGCGATGACCATCCGCGAGTCTATGCGTGCCTCTATAGGTCCCATAGCGGTAATGCCGAAATAGACCGACTCATGGAGCAAGTCCAAACGGCTACAGATTCCGTTCTGGCACAGATCCCCTCCGCTGAAATTGTGGTACTCGGCGACTTCAACGCCCACCATGCCGAATGGCTCGGTTCCCGTACCACCGATCACGCGGGGAGATCTGTCCACGACTTTGCCTTGTCATATGATCTGACGCAGTTGGTTTCCTCGCCCACGCGAATCCCAGATGTGGACGATCATACACCTTCCCTGTTGGACCTTCTGCTGACCTCACATCCGGACAGTTATTTGGTTTCTGTCGATGCCCCCTTGGGATCGTCGGACCACTGCCTGATCCGGACGAGAGTGCCTATCTCGCGTCGCCCACGGGTCAAACCTAATGGCCACCGTCGAGTATGGCACTACAGGTCAGCAGACTGGGATGGGATGCGGTCTTTCTTTGCATCCTACCCATGGGAGCGTGTGTGCTTCAAGCTGGACGATCCCGATGCCGTTGCCGTTTCCGTCTCCGATGTGGTGCTTCAGGGAATGGAACTTTTTATTCCTTCATCTGTTGTGCCCATTGGAGGCAATACTCGGCCCTGGTTTGGTCAATCCTGCAAATTAGCTGCACGCAACAAGCAGGATTGTTATCGAGCCTGGGCTGAGGCGTCAGCGGTTAGGGATGTAAATACCAGCCTACTCAAAAAGAAGTACAACTTCGCCTCCAGGTCCTTCAAAAGAGTTATTGCCAAGGCAAAGTCGGAACACATGGCCAGCATTGGGGAGAGGCTGGTGCGCCTTCCTTCGGGAACTCGTGCGTTCTGGTCTCTCGCCAAGGCTGTCCAGGGGAATTTTTGTAAGCCGTCCTTACCATCTCTGCGCAGGGGGGATGACACGTTGGCCCACACCGCAAAAGAGAAGGCCGACCTTCTTGGCTCTCTTTTCGCGTCCAACTCGACTCTGGAGGACAAAGGTTGCTCGCCGCCGAAAATCCTGTGCGGTGACACCTTTATGCCGGAAATCCAGTTTCGTCAGAGATTAGTGCGTAAAGTACTTCAATCTCTGGACGTTAATAAGTCGAGTGGGCCCGATGGAATCCCTCCCATTGTGCTTAGGACTTGCGCTCCTGAGTTGGCTCCGGTTTTAACGCGCCTGTTCCGGTTCTCCTACTCTGTAGGCGAAGTCCCGAAATCTTGGAAGACTGCCATAATCCACCCGATCCCTAAGAAAGGCGATAGCTCGAACCCGTCCAACTACAGGCCGATTGCCATCACTCCCTTGTTCTCGAAAGTCATGGAAACGACCATCAATTGCCAGCTTATGAGATACCTTGAGGAGCACCAGCTGATTAGTGATCGTCAGTACGGCTTCCGTCAACGCCGCTCAGCTGGTGATCTTCTTGCGTATCTCACGCATCGATGGACGGAGGCAATCGAGGGCAAGGGGGAGGCCCTGGCGGTTAGTCTGGACGTAGCTAAAGCCTTTGATCGGGTGTGGCATAAAGCACTTCTGTCGAAGTTGCCTTCCTACGGGCTACCCGAGAAACTCTGCGAATGGATTTCTAGCTTTTTGGAGGGTCGGAGCATCAAGGTCGTTATCGACGGCGCATGCTCTGACCCCAAACCAATTAACGCTGGTGTCCCACAAGGCTGTGTACTGTCGCCAACCCTGTTTCTTCTGCATATCAATGATATGCTGCAAATTAGCAACATACATTGCTATGCAGACGATAGCACGGGTGACGCACTGTACACGGCCCGGGCGAACGTTTCTCGGGTTACTGCCTATGAGAACCGGACTGGACTTGTGTCTAGACTGGAGACCCTATTGGGTGAAGTCTCGGATTGGGGTCGACAAAATCTTGTCGAATTCAATCCCAAAAAGACACAAGTCTGCGCCTTTACCGCTAAAAAAGATCCCTTTGTCGTAAATCTTCACTTTGAGAACACTCCCCTGGTTGCCTCAGCCAGTATCGGTATTCTCGGCGTTGACATATCGAGTGACGTTCAGTTTCGCGGTCACTTGGAAGACAAGGCCAAGCTGGCTTCCAAAAAGCTGGGTGTGCTCAGTAGGGCGAAGCAATATTTCCAGCCGGGCCACCGCCTACAACTTTATAAGGCGCAAGTGCGGCCCCATATGGAGTACTGCTCGCACCTCTGGGCAGGAGCACCCCAGTACCAGCTTCTTCCATTTGA